TGGAGCCCGAGGAGGAGGAGGAGGCACCGCGGGGCCGCGGGGGCCGGGGCAGCGCCCCCCCCAATGGCAGGTGTGTCCCACCCCCCCGCGGGGGTCCTGGGGGGCTCAAGGGCATCCCAGCCCCCCCTCCCCGGACACCGGAGCCCCCCTGGACACTCGGGTGTCCCCCGCAGGCGGCGGCTGCGCCCGGACGACACCACCTGGTACCTGGACACGGACGAGCTCAGCCCGGGGGACGCCTCCCCCAACGGTGGGTCAGGGTGGGCTTAGGGTTCGGTGGGGAGGGGTCCCATCCCGCTGTCCCCCTCCCCACGCTGACCCCGTGGTGTCCCGCAGGCGAGGCCGGGCCCCCGGAGGCCGAGGAGGGCCGGGGGTCTCGGGGTGGGACCCCCCGGCTGCTGCGGCGGGCGCTGATGAAGGGCTCGGCCCTGTTGGCGTCCCTGGGCCTGGGCCGGGACCTGGCACCCCCCGAGTCCCCCCGCAGCCCCCCGCCCTCCCCCGGCCTCCTGCGCCTCTCCCCGCGCCGCTGGGAGCGGACCCTGGGGTCCCCAGAGTCACCCGGGACCCCCGAGATGGGCCGTGCCTGGAGCCCCGGGACCCCTGAGCCGAGCCAAGCCCGGAGCCCCGGATCCCCCGATCCCGGCGGAGCCCGGACCCCCGGGACCCCCAGGACCCCTGAGCCGAGCCGAGCCCGGAGCCCCGGATCCCCCGATCCCGGCGGAGCCCGGACCCCCGGGACCCCCGAGCAGGGGCGAGCCCAGATCCCCGGGTCCCCAGATCCGAGTGGAACCCGGAGCCCCGGGACCCCCAGGATCCCCGGGACCCCCGAGCAGGGGCGAGTCCGGACCCCCAGGACCCTGGAGCTGAACTGGTCCTGGACCCCCGAGCTAGGGGGAGCCAGGACCCCCGGGACCCCCGGGACCCCCGAGCTGGGCCGTGCTCGGACCCCCGGGACCCTGGAGCTGGGTCAGCCCCGGACCCCGGGGACCCCTGAGCCACGCCGTGCCCGGACCCCCGGGACCCCCGAGCTGGGGCTGCAGCCGTCACCCCGGGGGGCGCGGAGACCCCGAGAGCTGAGCCCAGCTGGGACCCCCGAGTGGGGTAAGTGGGACTGGGGGTGAGGGGTGGCTTGGGGGTCTGGGGGGGGGGTTGGGACAGCCATGGGGGGGCAGCTCTGGGCTCTGTGGGGCAGGAGCAGGGGGTCGTTTGAGGGGGTGGTCTCGGGGTGGCTGTGGGGCAGTTTTGGGGGGGGTCTGGGGGCAGCTCTGGGGGATCATGGGGTAGTTCTGGGGGTCTTGGGGCAGTTTTGGGGGGGTCTGCGGGGCAGTTCTGAGGGTCATGGGGCAGTTGTGGGGCTCGGGGCGGGGGTCGCACCGCCCCCCCCCCCCCCCCCCCCCCCCCCCCGCCCCCCCCCCGCCCCCCCCCCCCCCCCCCCC